AGATGCTTTCTCATCAAGATAAGACCTCAGTTTCCTTAATAAACCCAGTCTATCAGTAAAGGATTTTTCAAAGTGCGAGTTAAGGTTCAGCGAAGCATCAATTAAAACACCAAGGTATGTATATTCATTTTGTATTATTTATAGTTGTGTGTTTATATCCAATTTCTAGATTCCCATCAGACCTTTTGATGCGTTGTGCACTTCCAAATAACAATGCCTCAGTTTTTCCTTTGTTAAGATTCAGAATCAGGTCATTCTCATCAAGCCATTCACTAATAAACTTCATATCATCAGTAAGTTTCCTGTTAATTTCCTCAATATCCTTGTCAGCAATGTAAATGACAGTGTCATCAGCATACTTGATGATTTTAGAATTTTCTATGGCGTCAGTGATATCATTGAAGAATATTAAGAACAGCAACGGTCCCAAAATCGATCCTTGTGGCACGCCGGAATTTATGCTTAATATTTCCGATCGATGGTTGTTATATACAACATTAGCTTTTCGATTGAAGAGGTAATCTTCAAACCATTTCAGTTCTTTCCCATTTATTCCATACTGAGGTAGTTTGGTTAGTAACTTGGAATGGCTGATTACGTCAAATGCCTTGGTGAGGTCGAGGAAAACAGCACCAACAAGAAGCCCGCTGTCAACATATTTTCTAATATCATCAGTTAATAATGCAGCTGCCAACTCAGTGGACATTCCAGGCCTAAAACCAAATTGGAACTGTGAGAGAAGCTTGTTGTCATTCAGATATTTCATTACTTGACGATGAATTATTTTTTCCATTTTTCCACTTTAGAGATCACTGGTAAAATTGATATCGGCCTGTAATGATCAAAATTAGAGAAGGATCCWGATTTGTGCATTGGTATAATTTTGGCCATTTTCCATGCATTTGGAAACAAGCCAGTTTGTAATGATAGATTAACAATATGTGTTAGTGGACCTGCTATAACAGGAGCCGAGTCCTTAATCAATCCAGGTGGGAGGTCGTCGATTCCCGTAGCTTTTGATCTTTTAACTGATCTTAAAAGCCTTTCGACGTCCATTTGATTTACAGGTTCAAATTTAAAATTTATTTCGACTTCAGTTCTCTTTCGAATCGATGCAGGTAGACGCCATATGAAGTTCCTCGGAGGAATTGATTTTTCTTTCAGAGCAGAAATTGTTGTGGTGAAGAATGAACGTGCCGTGCTCTCTAGCCGTCGCTGCCGGGTCTTTTCGGTTTTGATTGGAGGAGATTTTTCTCCAGGTTCACTGGCTTTCCTCCCTCCACAAAACATAACACGCTAAATTTCAATTTGATCTCTGACTTAGTTTTGCCCTGATTTTGATMAGCCCAGAGGGTTTGATAAAATGTCATGTTTTTGGCGATCGGAAATCAAATAATAGAGTTTTAGATTGACTTTTTTTTCTCCCCGCAAATGGCAAACGTGACCACGTTTTCATCGTTTTCCTGTATTTCACTTTACCTTTTGCAAACCTTCTCGACAAATACAAGTATTCTTTTGTTTATCTACTACTTGGAATTTTTTACGATTCTTTTTACAGTCAAACAAGCTCACGCGTTGACCCCTAGATTCGATTAATGAAATCATTAGTCAATTATTCCTTTTATACGTACGAACCGGAATAATGCAATATTGCAATATTCAAAAGAAAWTTCAGTTCATTATTCGACTCGTGATGAAGAAGGTAAATCATCTAAATTACAGATACCTTCGAGCAGAAGTCGCTCTCTTATTTCATAAACATACACACTAGGTTTTGTAATTTCCATGCCTCAATTACTTGGAGGATATCATCAGTAATTTTGTAGGGAACGCTCCCTCCTTGAGCGAAATGGAGACACAGTTCCATGTCGTCGATAATGTTAAAGTATTTTCTGGACTCCCCAACTAGAAATTTTCAGTTGTCACGAAATTGCTTTATTGGACAATCCGCTATTGCTGAGATAAACAATTTCCTGTCGAATAATATCAGGTAAAGGCTTTCCCGGCACATAAACACGGCCAGGACTATTTCTGGCCGCCATGTTTTCTTGGTCTTCCGGCTGTGTTAGCASTGATTAACCAATCAAAATGTCGTATATTGAATTTAAAGTTGATTGGAATTTTCATATCTTCGTTTTCGACGTTGTAAATTTCAACTGAATAATGAAATCAAAATTCGAAAATTCAAATCATTAATCGACTCTAGGGGTCAACGCGTGAGCTTGTTTGACTGTAAGCTATTCAAAATAATTTTTCAATGCTCAACTGACGTTTCACGTTGTGCCGTGAACGTAAATCTAAAACTCTCTATTATAAAACTGACCACGCGGATAAAATAACAAAAGATGTGTTATTTATTTWTCATTTTATCTAAAGATTTGCCCAAAGGCAAGTGAAGGATACTGGTAATATGGTAGTACTGTTTTTAGCTAATGAAATGTGACTTTTTCGTGTACCGCTGAACTTAAAATGCGTAATAGTCAAACAAAAGAATACAATGGGAATAAGATCTACATACTAACCTTTATTAGGCTACTATTTCAMGGTCTSAGGAAAATCACTCTAAAAAATAAAGACAACAAAACAATCACGAAAACTTAAAAATGCATGGAGAAAAATGAAAAATTATATTCAAACATAGAGGATATTACGTGGGCGCGCGGAGATACGGAATTTATCTTCGAGTGTTGAAATGAAGAAATAGAAAACGCGAGCGCGCGCTGCCATAAAGCACGCGGGGGTTGGCAGAACACGAGACGCAAGTGTTAGGAAAAGCACGACGCGAAGCGGAGTGCTTCTGGAMACTTCTCGAGTGTTCTGTCAATCCCCAACTGTTTTATGACTGCACACAGCACAGCAATCAAGTTTTTAATTTTTTAAAATAAAATACAAATTACAATAATAGATGGGAACGACGCAACGGAAAGTGCGCGCGCGTRCAATGCGCTCTCATAAAGCACGCGCTATAAACCAATCAGAACGCGATATTCATAACAGTTATTTTATAATAATTTTTTTTCCACGGGTTAAATACTCATGTACAACAAAAACAAAAAGTTGAAAACAAGATAAAATTTTTAATTATGATGTTTATGTATAAAACAAACTATAAAAAGATTTATTTGTTATCAAACTTTAWGATTAAAGAAAATGTTCTTTCTTGCTGTAGCAAGCTTTATTGTATTCTGGCTTTAAATTAGCAAGGTTAGTTGTGAGGGTAGAAAGATAGCTTGTCTTTCTTCATGCACCTTAATCTAAAGATTTTGCTGCCCTTATTGTTGATGATGGAGCCAAAACCTCGTAATAGTCATCGCGGCCATGTTGGTACCATTTAACAAACAATTTCTCATTAGCATCCATTGTTAACGGTACCACAATGGCAACCATGCTTTTGTCTTTTAACTCTCTCGGGAATGCTTGCAACCCATCAATTGCACATGCGGAGGAAGAAATTAGGGCTCTGAGAACGAGATTGCTTATAAGTTTCTATGATCTTTCTAACATGGAAAGAAAAGAAAGAAAAGAAGATAGAATGATTAAGCACTTGATTCACTAACTTCTAAAAATAAATTACTATATTAATGGACTACTTTTAATGGTGTTGTATGGACCGTCTTGACAGGAAGTGGACGACTCTTTGTAGTGCGCATGCTCGTAGTGGTAGGTGGCTGCTGTCTAGTTGGGGGTAGTGTAGAGGGACCACTTGGTTGTGAGGTGTGCCGCTGTACAAGAATGGAGCTGACTGGGCCTTGGTGTCCTATAAGACCTATAATGATGATGTGAAATGAATTTGAATAGTTACAGTGTATAGCTAGAAGAAGAAGATGGAGGAATTGGCCATGAAGAATAAGGAGGTGAAGGAGTACTAGGAGAAGAAGATTTCTAGTTTAGAGCTAAATTCATATGACTGTAAAGATAATACTAATCACATGCCGTCGTGTTAGCATGCCTTTTCTAAGCATTGTTCCAGCATTTCGATTGGCCAATTTTACAAGTACAGTTATCTCACGCTCTGTGATTGGTTCAAAATATGTCCTAAATTCTGTACCTTTTACAATGTCGTTTCACAGTCACATATGAAATCTACTCAAAACGCTGACTTGTAATCATATAGACCCCTTGCATGTGATGTCAAAGGACAAAACGAAGGTATTCCAACCTCATGAGAATTGGAAACTTATTCAGTGTTACTGTATGTGCTTCAAATTAAGCAGTATTCCGACATGTTGTGTTTATTTGACAAAAGTACTGACCTGCTCCTCCCTTGGCACCTTTCAGATCCTCTCTTCCTGTAGCTCTAACTGTAATTTTTCTACCACCTGCCTGGGAAGCAGGTTTATAAGGGACCCCGCTCTGGCTTGAAGGTCCTGGCATGCCTACTGGGATCCCTGTTGATGAGGCTGAAGGAACAGGGGCCTGAGACCGTGGAGTGTCTTCTTGATCTGAATCAAAAGAAGTCTTTCAAATTTAAAAATACATGCAGAAAAAACATGCAATCAAACCTGYACTGTAAGTAATTTTTAGTCTTGACTTTTTTAACTCTTTCTCATTAATTTGTCTACTACCCACCCCTCCCCTAGGACTATT